TTGGCCACTTGTAGCTCCTTTTCTTTTACTTCTAGTTCCTTGCTCAGGGCTGCAACAGACTCTGAAGCTTCTTTTAGCTTCTCCAAACCAGTATTCATTCTAGAATTGAAAATCCAAGCAAGCAATGTTAAAATTTGTGGTACTTGGCCACGTTTTCCAAGCACCGGTCCATGAATGAGTAGTAATGATCATATCTGGAGAATGGGTATACGCGAATAGCAAAGTCAAGAGGCTTAGCAAAAAGGACATAAATCCAGGCTTAACTCCAGACTAATAACATGTACGTTCTTCATAGACCTCACGTGGGAAGAGTGAATCCACTGGAACGTGCTCTATGAAAAAGGAACAACAGTGGATCTAAAATCTGCATTGTGCAGGAAACCTGCTTAATGACATTAGGCTAAATGACAATAGACTTCAAATGTCTGAAGCCTTGTCATGGAGGAAAGAAAATAAACAATTTTGTTTTTCAAAAGAGACCAATGAAGTTAAAGAAAGAAAAATTGGGGCTCAAGAAAAGAAACCAATTTAAAGCCATCGGAACAGCCTTAGGAAGGAACCAGTGGCCCGCCTGAACCTGAAATAATGTGATCTTAAAGCTGGGAGCCCTCAGAGTCATCTAGTGCCATCACCCACGCAGGGGTCCCTTACACAGCAACGCTGGCTCATTGTGGCCATGTTCTGGGAGATCTGATTGTTCAGAAAAACACAGGGCAGAGCAGTGAAACCTGGAACAAACTTCAGGGAAGCAGGGTATTCTCAGGCAGTGAACGTATGCATCAGCCCTGCTCTTCTTAGTCACTTAGAAGAGCTGGGAGGAGAGGGGCGAGAGGAAGGAGGAGGTTGTGTCCGCATTCTCAACTCCCTTCCAGGGCTATCATTTCTGTAATAAAATGGTAGGCCACATAAAAAATGGACAACAGTTTATCCTGTTGGGCAGCAATAAAGCTCCCAGGAACTGCAGGATAATCCTCCGGGTAGGCTCTAGAGCAGGGCTTCTCAACCTCAGCACATTGACCTTTTGGGCTGGATAATTCTTTGCTGTGGGAGCTGCCCTGTGTACTGTAGGACGTTTGGCAGCATCGCTAGCCTCTACCCACTACATGCCAGTAGTACCCCTGCCCTGCCACCCCAGTTGTGACAAACAAAAACGTCTCCACCAGTTGCAAAATGCCCACTAGGGGCAAAACTGCCCCTAGGTGAGAGCCACTGCTGTACCATAACTTTGTATTTGAACTTAACACTTACCTGTTGGCCAGGGTCTGCACTTCCACATGTTTTTCTCTATATGTGAACTTATACCCCTGAATAAAGGAGAGGTATGATTTGGGTGTCACATGGGTAGAACGTCGGAATCTCTGAAAATAATCAACACACTTCTCGGCCACCCCATCCTGGAAGGAGCCCATGCATTGGACTACCTCCTTCTTAGTCTGCAAACTGCAGTCGATATCATAGGAAGAGAGGAAGTGTTCCGACACTAGAAATAATAAAA